TAAAAAATTGTTTTGAAACCACCCAAAACGCATTATGAAAATTTTGACTTGATTATAACTGAAAACATCCAAAATGACAAATTTGTGATTTTGGGTTTTCTTCATAAATTTTTAATTTGTTTTCAAAACCGCATTTTCGAAAATAGGAAAAAGAATGTTTTTTCACTATTTTGAAAAATCGAAAACAGAAAACGGCTTGAAAATGATAAAGAGAACATACCCTTAATTTTCAGATTGATGGTAACCTCTTGCATGCCACTTAGTGTCGATCTCATATCCAGTTCAATGTCCAATTATTAGGTCCTAATGATATAGAGTTTCAAGAGTCCTTCAAGTCAAATCTCTCTCGCTTTTTCGTTATCTAAGTTTGGACATGTCGAGATAAACATAGATCCCACCTTCCATTTCAACACGTATAGGTCTCTAATACCTTGACACTTTTAGAGGCTTTAATTTGTTGAATCATGTAAAGCTTGATCGAAGTTTTTACCCCGACCCATATGTTTTATCCTAATGGAGATGACCATGTTTCTAATGCTACTGAAGATAACAATTGCAAAAGATTGTTGCCTTATCCTAACAGAATCAGGATATATTGCTATGACTTATTCAATCAAAGAAGGTGTATATATGTTTAAGTGACTTACTTCCTAAGTTAGGATGCTTTACGGGGGCGTCCTCAATTGAAATTTTAATGGATCTTAAAAATCTTTATAAATCATGTTCTGCATAATAAAAATATACTAATGTTAAGGTCAAATTTATAAGAGACATTATTGAAAAAGGTATAATTAAACTTGGAAAATTGCTACTAAGTATAATTCTGCACCACATGGGGACAAAAGTTCCTTTTGTTAATAAGTTTAAAAGACTAGAGTTTACTACTTTACTCAATACTTTTGCAGGTAATGAGCGAGTAAAATATAAAGTGAAGATAGTTAGCACTCTGGTAGCGACAATTTGCATCAAGGTGGAGTCTGTGGGGATACATTTGATGCAAACTTAAAGCTTGAGGACTTAATATGCAAATTTCAAAATTTTCACTTGGATAAAACGCACTTTTGGATTTTGAAGTCTCTCTCTAATTCGAAGATTCTCTA